GATTGAGAGTTTGGTATCCAATTCGAAATAGTAATAGAGTATTGCCATTCATTTTTCATAGCAATAGTAATAGGTTTATATATCATTTTTCATAGTGATATTACATATCTAAATTTTTTACTGAGATTTTTATCCAAAAATATCTATATATGATTCAGATTTATTTTATACATGAGACTTGTATTACATTAATTTAATCTCAACCACAAATTCACATTCATGGCAAAAATCTGGACACATTTTCAGTGTGCATAAGACTACTAAATTTGAAAATAATTCATGTCTAATTTTTTATTTGATGTTATCAATTGAATCAAATTGACTCAATATAAAAATAAAATAAAAAAATGGTTAACAAAAAATAAAAAAATAAAAAAAAAATGAAAACCTAAGTCCCTTTATATATATATATACAACATGTACATGTGAAGAGTGAGGACTAAAAAAAGAGTAATGTTAGGTATCATGAAAAAAAATTCATGAAAATGATTATGAAATATTTATGATCCTTAGATTACACTTAAAATAAAGCAACACACACTAATCAAAGTAATCCAAAGATCACAAACCTTTCATGATCATTTTCATTAAAAAAATTTCATGATCACTAGTTTTTCTCAAAAAAAAACCCTTTCATTAGTTGTAGTTTCATTGCTTTCAACTTTCTGGAAGTGAGAACAAAAAAATACATGGAAATCAATTCCAAAACATGTCCAAATTCGTCAACTCCTTCTATCTCAATGAATCAAAACATCAATGATGTTTCTCAGGCATACCAAACACTCTACCAAGCTAGCCCTTACATAAAACTCTCTCACTTCATATCCTCTCAATCCATCCTGGAAGCATTTGAATCAAAACAGCAAGTTCATAACATTGATCTCGACATCCGATATGGATTCCAATGGCCTCCATTGATCCAAGCCGACATCCGATATGAATAACAGGAATAGGGTCCCCTCTAGAATCCGTCAGAGAGACTGGAAATTGCTTAATCGAAGCAGCGAAACGTGCACGTGTCCCATTTGAATTTCACCCAGTTGAGGCCGAGCTTCGAAACCTAAGACCGAGCATGCTGCAGGTTCAACAGCATGGTGGTGAAACCCTAGCTGTAAACCTAGTGAACTGGCCCAGATGTGATATTGGCAATTGTCTTGGAAAGTTATTGACAATGATTCGAGACCAAGGTCCTGTGTGAGAATTTTGTTGTTTAATTGTTTGTTTTTATAAATTTATCATATTTTAAAAACATTTTGCTTATAATAGTTACACTCATCATTATTACATGTTATTGATGATCTAAATTATCCCATTTCTCTCAAACTACTTGAGATTCTATTCGATAATCGTACCTGCAATAATCTTATAATCAAAACACAATCATTACATGGTTCAAAAGTGATTTAATTTTTGCAATAATTGTATTTTGAGTTCCTAAACTAGGATAGATAACCTCAACTAACTCTCTCTCTCTCTCTCTCTCTCTCTCTACATATCTGTGGTTTTCTAAAAGATTATAGATGCACCAAAAAGTGATTAGAAATATGACATGTTTGGCTGATTAATATATATATATATATATGTATATATGATGAGTTTGAGAAACCTCTTCGAATATACATATGTATTTCAAGCGTCTTAATGATCGTAAATACTAAGCAAGAGATACTAAATAAAATAAACTTTTATCTTAAATTTGCTTCAATATGCTAACAACCTTCATGAAGGTTAAAAAAGACAGTAATAACATGATTCTTATACTCCCAAAAACTGATGTATTCTAATTTAAATACAGTTCATACCATATTAACATGTTTTGTTCTTCATACTTTACAAATGAAAAATATATAACACTTTCTAGATCTGTAACAGATATGATTAACTGATGATTAAAAAGTAAATATAAAAGAGAAAATTATTTTAAATATTCTAAAAGACTGCCACACTGTTGATTTTAAAAAGTAAATATATATATATATATATTTTCCATACATCGGTAAGAAAAAGTGGATCACTCTTGGGTCAGAGTCAGAGTAGACTAGCCTTTACAAATTCTTATATTGCATGCTAATTAATTTAATTTCTGTGACTTTTATCACAATATTTGTGCTTCAATTCTGTTTATTGTTTTGCTAGATTAACAGGTCCAAGAATTGTGACCCTCACGGAGCAAGAGCCTAGCCGCGGTGAACTGACTTCCATAGGTCGATTCACATGGGCATTGCGTTACTACTCTGCAATCTTCGAGTCACTAGATGCAGCATTTCCAGGCGACTCTCCGGCACAAGGAAACGTGGAGAAGTGTATTTTTGCACCAGCGATAAGGAAAGAGGTAGCATCAGAGGAACCAGGGAGAGCGGCATGAAGGCAAGAGGGGTACATATAGAATGGTTTAGTTCGGTTTTTTTTTTTTTGAAAAATGATGGCATGTTGATTTTTTTGGAAGGTGACATGTTTTTGAAAAATGTCAATGATTTTAGTTTATATTTCTGTTGGCTTTTTGGCTTTTCGAAGGGTATTTTTGTAAATGTGAGTGTGTCAGCAAGGATCAATCAGTCCTTACAGAAATTGTGATTGCCAACCAATTATCAGACGATTGTGTTTTAGTCCTTTTCAGCCTCAATGAAGAGGACTTTTACTGGTGGCTTGACTTAGGAGAAGTTAATAGAAATAACAGTAATATGAAGAACAATTGAAGTATTTCATAAAGATGAACACTTACAATGGTCCGAACTCAGCCTCAGAGAGGTTTACAACAGCAATCTACTTGAATCTACTAGAAGCTACTCCTACGAATCGAAGTGCAGTGCGGGTATTTGAAGTGCAGGTATTTAAAGAACATGTATTTAAAGACTGGAAATGTAAAAGACTGGAAAAGAAAATATATGAAGTAAATGACTGGTTTGTATGATCTGAGTCCGTCCTTTTTTCTGGGGGCTGCTCTGCTATTTATACTCGTCAGTGATGACCTTCGAACTGCACTTCGAACTGTCGAACTGCTCCTCCATGATCGCTGATCATGCTTCCTTACAAGTAGCTCCATTACGCCATTACTGGCAGTTGAGTTTCCCTCTTGTACTTGAATTTGAATATGAGTAACCGTTGAAGATATGTCATCTTGCATCCCGTCATTGATCTAGTGTTACTCAGATCATGTGAGGACCAATATTTGTTGCCACGTGTACGATCAGGATTAAAGGCTTGAATAACCTCCCTTTATTACCCTTACTCTGCCACGTGTCGAACTGTAACTGATTTTTACAAAATATGTAGCCAACAATTTCATAATGGATGCATTTTGCTTTATCATGTATTGAATAATATTTTGTGAGTAGATTGTAAATAATTTTCAAGTTATTAAAAATTGTGTTTTAAAATGGAACCGCTTCTCAATGGTTTAGTCACGTTTGAATTTATGATTTTTATAATTTTGTTTGACTGTAAATTTTATGAAATCATAAATAGCAATTTGATCCTTGATTGTCTCTTAAATTGAATCAAATTGAACCATGCTCATCCTTATTTTTATTATGTTATTTTTTTTTGTTTAAGTATAGCCGGATTTGATTAAAACTTCATCGGTGGTATTAACTTCAAATGTAAGTTCTTATGAATTATTAGTCCTCATATACTAATACTATGCTATTAAATATCGATTGATACGTATTAAAATTTTGAATTTTTAATATCATTATGAGATAATATTATTAGATACAGGCTAATATATAAGTGTATTGTTAATATCAATACATATACTGTTATTTAAGATCATAACAATATAATGTAAGTATGTGAATATTAGTTGGAGCGATCCTAAAATGTTTGAGGGAAAATCTAATGATTTCAAAGGCAGACTGATATAGAAAAGTACTTATAATGAACAAGATATGGTTTTGTGAATTTGGTAAAGCCATTGCATCTGGTTTTATTAAGGTATCCAAATTTTGTTGTTCTGAACTTGTGAAGTTGAGAGTAATGTAAAACCAACAATGCTAGAGATATCACTTTGTCAACTCTCACTGTGTATGTACATATTCACATTTACATTTATATTCCTGCGGTATTACTTTATTGATTTTTCTGAATAAAAAAAAAGGTATTACTTCATTGATTTTCATATCATTTATAATCTAATTGTAACAATGGCATCATCAAAGAAGTATTATGAAAAATCTTAATGAATATTTTTCATCCTTAAATTAATTGTAATGTTTTACTGTACATTATATAATCACTCATAAATTAATTTTATAAAATTTTTTATAATATTTATTTTATGATGCATATTATTATTCAATTGTAAAATAAGAATATTTTGACGTATATAATTTTCAAAGCTTTGCAAAAATGTGGGACAGCTACGCTTTTTTTTCAAACTAACAAATTGAGAGCTAACGAGAGAATTAGGACAAGTGAACGCGCGCGCGCGCACACACATTTGTTTACATTATTGTCAGAGAATCAGACAACTAACTATGAACGTTGCTCCAATTGATAACCATTAACTAAATGACAGTTAAAATTCAACCCCTTGAATTTATCAAAGGGTGTTTGGAAAGAAAAAAAATAGTTTAATTTAGGCTAAAATTTATAAAAAGATAAAATAGGATAAAATAGTTAATAAGATAAAATATCACATTAAATCCATAATCATTTCACTTTTTTTTCTCACAAACATCACATCCAACCATAAAAAAATCCAATCATCTTCCCAAACATAAAAACTTTAACCTACTAAAATAACCAAAAACTAAAATAGCCTATTAAAATAGTAACTTCCCAAACAAAGTCCAAATATCCTGATATATAGGTCTGGTCAAACCTCTTACCATACATTCTGCTCAGTTTGGGGTCTTTTGGAACAATGATAAAAAGTCAATTTTTTTGACTTTTTAATTTTTTTTGGACCAAAATAATCTATTTTTTATGTCAAAAAAATTATCAAAAAAATTAAAAAATTAATTTTTTTCAATTTTTCAAAACACTACTTTATCTAATCACGTGTCTCGATTGAGCCCAATAAGCAAATGAAATTATCTTTCACAACAACATATATATATCAACATTGTTAGGTATTCAAACATTTAAAAAATAAATAAATTAAAAAAATATATTGTGTGCACAAAATTCTAAAAACCTTGATACTAATTTATTAAAAAAGGTTCTATCCATCTAGTTCAATATGGCGATAATATAAAACTTAATTGTGCCACCATTATATTGAGATAATCAAAATATAGTAATTGTTTTTTTTAGTGTAGTAAATTAAAAATTGATATTGATTTTGATCATTAAAAATGATATGAGTACCTCTAATTTTTTTTCCTACCAATTGAACTAGCATTCCCATCAAAGAGTCCCTCAATCATGGTCTCAATATCTTCAGGTTGATACTTTACATACTTCTCCCCTTGTCTCCCTGAATCCAAGTATTGCCTGAACCTGCCGAAAAAAGACCGGTACGCCGGAATCACCACCGCTGAGATGGACACCCTGAGCTCCGACTGAAGCTGTTCGTCACTCACAACCCATGTGCTCTGCGTCTTTTGAATCTCATCAAACATGGCACTGAAATTTTTGAATCTCTCTTTCAATGCCGGTTTGTGAACCTTCCCATTCACTTGCAATCCTTCGTGCCCCAAACACTGTAGAACTTTTCCCCAAGTTTCTCTCTGGTAGTTCTTGTGGTATTGCCTCACATCGCTCGATCGAATTCGGTACCACGTGTCGTCCATCGATTGGAGGATCTCACTTGCTGCTTTGATCTTCTGCATTATGTATCTGCCATTGTTCATCAGGAATATGAATCGGAGAGATGGGTCTTTGTACAGTTTCGATTTTGTTTCGAGGTTTAGATCCAGGAGATCAATCACGGTCATTAGCTGTGTAGCGAACGGTGATGATGATGAGTTTTCACCCGTCTGATTGTGGCTTGGGCTTTCTCTCTCATGTTTGATTGATGGAACGAGCGCCTTGTTCTTCTGGAAGATTTGTTCTAGTGTGACTTTGTACTCACACGCGTATTTTAGATAGTTCATGACGTAGCGGGTGAGGGGGTGAACTGCGCCACCGGCTACCGGAGTTTTCGCGGCGTCTCCTTTGATGGAGTTTTCGAGATCGCAGAAGATGTGGACGGCGGCTTCTCCGATCCGATCGCCGGAGGTGGAGATTTCGGCTGCGAGTTCGTCGGAGCACGATTTGTTGATGTCTGGAATCAGATCTCGGAGAGCTTCGTACATGTCTAGGTATTTGAAAAGCTTCTCCGCCGATCGATTGGTTTGAACCACCGCGTCGACGAAGTTGAGGAGTTGAATGACGACGGCGCGTGCGAGGTTGCTGAAGAGGTAGACGGCGATGGATGGATTGTCGGAGAAGACGGAATCGCAGAGCTTGCGTTCGCCGGGGAAGAGCACGGTGGCGCAGTGTTTCACGACTTTGATCCACGTCGCGATCTCTCCTTCCAGCGTTTCCCATTGCATTTTCTTCACATCTTCGACGCTTTTGATCTCGAATTCGAGGCTTTTGATGGCTTCGTTGAAGACATTGCGTCTCGCGATGCTGTAAACTTGACAACACTCAGTTTCGTACCCTGCGCAGATCATCGCCGTCGCTATTCTATTCATCTTCATCACGATCTCCGGCGAGTAGGACGGGAATTCCTTCTGTCCGCTTGTTGATTCGTCGTCGCGATCCGATTCTTCTTCGTCAGATTGCTCCTTTCTCAGAAGAAGATTCAAATTCGAATCTTCTAGAAGATGTCGAAACTCCTCTTCCAAAAACACCATCGCTCTCTGTAAAACCGTGCTCGTTCGATCCTTAGACGACGCAGTGGATGAAAAATCGTTAAAAGTTTTGTTCAGCTTCGAAATTCGCCTCACAGCTTCGAAAAAAAACGAATCCTCCTCCGTCATTTTCCCGAAAATCGTCGGAGAATTGGGGGAATAGTACCTCGCAATTCTCGATTCGACGATCTTGGAGAAAGTCTCAACGGAGTCTGGAACTTCGAGAGGCTCAGATTTATCATCCACGGTTGATAGTGTGTTGGTAAAGCGATCGACGTCTTGGGTAAGTTGATCGACATTGTCGTTTTCATCAGGATCGTGTTCGAGGCTGAAATCGATGGAAGAGAAATGGGTTGAGTTGGGAGTGGTAATGTCGCTGCTCTTTCTGCGAGCATGGCGACCTCTGATGAAACTGATGGATTTCTCAGAATTATGAGAATTTTCCATTCAATAATGGGTTGGTTTTGATTGTTTGATTTTTTTTGAATGGGTTGGGATCGTGAAAAAACACAAGGGGAATATGAGAGATTCAAAGATGAGAAAGAACGCGAAAATGAAGGAGAGTTACAGATTGTTAGTGTGCGTTTGTTCGCTGTTATTAGTTTTTTTGTTTAGAAGAGGTGGTTTGAAATGGTCGTTTGCGTTTCGAGGGTTTTAAACACCAATATATATATATATATATATATTGGGGAAATTACATTGTACCCCTTTTGTGTATTTTTTTTTTTCCTCACTTTAATTCTTAAAATTTAGAGAAATTTTTTCAGGTCCCTGGTATTAAGACTTTACAGCATAAAAGACACTCAATATTTTCATAATGTCTAAGGTCCCTCAAGTTGATCCAGAGAAAATTTGTCCAAAGAAAATTCCTCAATATTTTCATAATTTCTTCACCTGTTTGAATTTGCAGCGTTACCACCATGGGTTTGTTTACATGGTCCAGAGAAATTCTTTGGTTTAGACTGAATTTTCTTTGGTCTGAACTGAATTTTCTCTGGACTTTCTCTGGGTTGGTCTAGAGAATTTTTCTGGTTTGGTTGGTCTGAATTTTCTCTGGGTTGTTGAACTGAAATTTGAGAAGCTGATGCATACTTACCATGATTGAATTACCTATGAGATTTGTGATGATTTGCCGAAATTTACCTGGATCTCCATAACACCGAAATTCTTGAATCGAGAAAATTCAGTTTAAAAACCAAAGAATTTCTTTGGACCAACCCAGAGAAAATTCGGTTTAAAAACCAGAGAATTTATCTGGTTTCAACCCAGAGAAAATTTAGCATGCAATGCACTAATCTTTTTTGACCCGTATTGGAACAACTTGAAAGAAGTTTTATTTTTTCCTTTTGTTATTTATTTGTTTAGTTTATGATATTTGAGATCAAACTCTAGGGTGCAGAAATTTCAAATTTGAGGTTGCAGAGTTTGTGTTTTGCTATTACTTTTCCATTCTTAGTTGGAATTTATGCCAAAAAGAGTTTATATACATATCTCAGTGACCGTACATATTTGTTTGGTCAATCCAAACCACAGAATTTCTCTAGATCAACCCAGAGAAATTTCAGTTCAAGCCAGAGAGTTGAACCCAGAGAAATTCTGAATTTTCTCTGGAACTATAAAACTCTGATTTGATAAATCTGTCAATTGAAATACCTGGGGAGACTCTTTCTTGAAAGTGATGAGAAAGGCGAAGATGGCAGTGAAGAAAGGAGTGGTGAAGCCAATGGCTTGGTTGAAGGAGACAGGTAGGTAGCGAAGAGAGATGTTGCCGGAGACGACGGAGAAGCAGAAAATGGCGGAGAGAGCTTGGGAGAAAAAAACGTCAAGGCTGGTTGTGCTTCTCACAAGTGCCTATGTGTTGCTTATGAGAATCTCAAGGCTTCTCAGGAAGAGTTCTTCAAGAATCGAAACAGTATTATAGAACATCAATATGATTCGGAGCAGTTGAAGACCAGAGAGAATGAGGAAGACAATAGATCTGTGATTGAAAACCTAAGGTAATAGACATATATATATATTAGGGAAGTGGTGATAGAACCCATACAACAAGCACAAAGTCTTGTTTTTTGTCGTTTACTAGCGTTAGGGATGGTGATAGTCACATTTCTCTGATATATGTTTAGGGACCTTAAACATCGAAAAATAATTTTGTGGATCTCTTCCATTACGAAAAGTGGGGGAGGGACCCTAGACTAATTTTCCCCTAAAATTTATTTATTTTTTTCACTTTAACCTTTTATGTTTTAAATTTTTTTAATTTAACTTTTATTAAAAATATACAAAAAATGACACATTAACAATCACGTGATATAAAAATATTATATTATATATAACTCACACTTTTAACACAAATTCAAATTTTAATATAATAATATATTTTTTATCTTATGTGACAATAATTGTGATTTTTTCTGACTAATTTTGAACATAAATTAATTTTAGGAGTAAACTGAAAAAATTTAAAATATCAAAGCCCAAAGTAAGAAAAAATAAAATTTAATGGCTAAAATGAGAAAGTGACCAAATATAAAATGGACAAAGTGTAATTTACATTTTTAATTAATCTATTTTAAAGTTATTTAAAAAAAAGTAATATCATAGTTGTATTTAATATACTTAATCGAACAAAAATGTGAAATCATAATGACCCACGTCATTATTTATATACAAATGTAAAAAAGAATTGTATTTAAATGACTATAATTCAAAATAATTATACTAAGTCGGAACTATATCACATGCCACTCTTTTGTTTGGTAGGCAAATCAGAGTTATATCCTATGCCATAATTTTTAGTTGCATCAATTATAAATTTACTTGTGACTGAAACTGTAATCCTATGCCATAATTTTTAGTTGCACCAATTATAAATTTACTTATGACTGAAAATGTAATTATCCTTTATTATTTCCATTTAGATGTACTTTTTCCTACGAAATTTGTAATTAATCTAGTCCCATGATATATTTTTTAAAGTTGCCATATCATATTGAAATATTTCATCTAGATTCTTATCTTTTATGTAATTTCTTATTTAATATCATAAGTCTCACTATTTTTTAAATATAGTGAATTTCACGTATACACATAATTTTTATTATAAGAATACACACAAGCGGAATAAAAGAAAAAATAAATCCTGCTATTAGTACTATTTTTCTAACTTTTAATACTATATATTTTTAATTTTTAGTAGTTTTTACTTTTTTTACTTCATGTTTTTATTAATTTGAACGTTGACCAATTAGAGAAGGCCAATTGTAATCGCATAAGATTTTATGAGGTGTATAGTAAAGCAATACTACCTACTTAAATATTAATTCTATGTATGTATTCTACAGTACACTGAGTTAAATTTAACAATACTCTATTTTTCTATTTTGAGTAAAAATTATGGACAATATTTGTAGGTATGTAACTGTATTGGAGTGTAGCATTTGTATGTATTAGTAGGGGTATGTGCGGTACGGTTCGGGTAATTTGAGAGTAAAATTACAAATAGAATAACGGGTTAGCGGATTAATAGATTGACAAATTGCAGTTTAAGTGATTTTTGGTAGATTGACGGATTGAAGAATATTATAACTAATTATTATCATAAATTTACATAATATATAACACTAATTTGTATAATATTTTTTAGATATATAACACAAAGTAATTTTGCATAATATGTTTCATATATATAACCACTAATCTGTAATAAATTTCATATCTTAAATTTCTCTTACATTCATTTTTATATTGATATTCTATTGGAAGTTAAAAAATATATATGTATTAATTATAGCGAAATTGAGCAGTTCTATTGACAGATTATAAATTTTAAAATTTAAACTACAGATAACGATTAGAACGGTGTGAATTAATACGAATCAGTATAATTTTAACAAATTAAATAGTATTTTGCAGAGTTATATGTATTAGTAGTCTTTTTCTAATTTTCAATTTTTATTTATTTATTTTTGCTTTTACATGGTTAATTTCTTTGTAAAGGTTGGGCATTGGAATTATAAAGCATAGGCCTGGACTTTTTTTTTTTTTTTAATCAGAAAGAAAGACTCAGTGGTGCCATCATAGCCGAATTGAGGCCTAGCCCCGGGGTTGGTCAAGATTTTCAAAACCAGAGCTAGAAGGACCCTGTGGGCCACAAAATCAGCACACAAATTCCAATGTTTCCAGTATGATCAATTTAATAATTCATACAAAATAAAATAAAATAAAATTATAAAAATAATATGACAGTGATATGTTTTAAAATATAAATTATCTCAAAGAATCTTATCATGTAAAAGTTATTAAATTAAGAGTTATCATATTATTCTATTTTTAGGGGTTGTTTGGGATGACCTAAATAAGTTTACTTTTTGTTTTGTTACGAAAAGATGTGTAGAAAAGTAGAAAGGTGATGTGATGAAAAAAAATAAAAAAATAAATTATTTTTTTGTTGCCAAACTTAACCTTAGGGTTGGTTTGGGGTGTCCTAAAAAAGTGCACTTTTTGTCTTTTTACGAAAAGATGTGCAGAAAAATAGAAAGGTGATGTGATGAAAAAAAGATAAAAAGATAAAAAAATGGATTATATAGTAGATGCCAAACCAAGCCTTAATCTCCTTTTTTCAGTTAAATATAAAATTTCAAGAAAAAATAAAGTAGGTAGTCTTAAGCTGCAAATGTGGTGGCTCCACTTCATTAATTGGATGGAATGATTGAGCATGAACTACAAAAGATATGTCCGAAGACAGCCACTTACATCGGCTTCAGTAACGATAGTAACCTCATAAAATATAATCTCATAATTTTTAAAATGATTTAGCCTCCGTTTGGAAAGTGGATTGGCTTTTTGACTTTTTGATTTTTTTGGCTATTTTAGTCTGGGCTAAAAAGTTTGGTTTGGGAAGGGTTTTTTGGTTTTTTGGCTTTTTTGATTTTTTTTGTGAGAGAAGAGTGTAATGATTATGGGTTAGATGTGATGTTTTGTTTGTTGTGGCTAAAATAGCCTGTTTTGTCTTTTGTGACTATTTTAGCCCCAACCCAACTTGCCAAACACACTGTTAGAGATTAAAAAAATAAATAAAAAAAAAAAATAAAAAAATAAAAATTAAACACATCAATAATCAATACATCAATAGAAGTCATAGAGTCCTCCGTTATGGATTGCAAACATGTTCCTATTGGCTTTTGTTGGCATCTATAATGTGTCTTGTCCAATTGGAAAATACAGTGGAAGAAAAAACAAGAACACAACAAATACAGAAAGAGAGTACTCAAATTGACCTTTAGTTTCCCAATTGACTTGATTATGCCATTATATTGTTTGTAATTATTGCAATTTTGAACTAACTATTATGATTTCTAATCAATGAACAGAATACATGCTTGTTGGATTAATTTCATCAACAAAAACTCATACTCATGAACATATTTTGATAAGGGAATGGCTTCTGTCCCGTTCTTAATCGGACTGGATATTGTTGGGTCTATGGAGGTCCACTATGAGTCCCGTTTTGATAATTTGAACTGTCAATGTGTAGAACTCGTCGAGTACTATATGTCTGTAAAAAATCACGTTAATTGGATATCGATAGCTATGTAATCAAAATAGATTTTTATTAACCGTTAATTTATTCACCGTCCATTTTTTTTATACAAAACTGATTTGATCACATAGCTATCGATATCCGA